TATTTTTCCTTCATAGGGCACTGCACTGTGTTAGAAATCTAAGTACTTATGAAGGACTCTGTTTCTCCACGTGCAGGTCTCACACTGATGAGCCACACCTGGTCACCTGTTTGGAGCAAGACAAAGGACCTTGCAAAGTGAAGAGGAGGAAGTAGCAAAGGTACCAGGACAGTAGATGCAGGGCCAAGCTTCAGGTTTAGGTGAAAGTGGAAACCTGATGAGATAATGGTCTTGCCACATCTTTTTATTAGAAAAGATTTTGAGCAGTATTACTGAGAAGAATATTCTCAGAATTGCCCCTTTAAAGACATTAAGGTTTTCTATGTAAGAATTAAAACCAAATAAAGTTTTGTTTGACTATGCTTGTTCCATTCACGTCTCTCTGTCTCCATACCAGTATTACATGGTTTTCATCACTGTTGTTTGAATATGTTGTAAAGGAAAGTCAGTGCCTCTACAATTGTTCCCTGTTCTCAGAATTTAAAAGCTGTTTGTAGTTCCTTCAGATTTCATATCTTCTAGAGTTAAATTTCTCCATTTTTCTCTTAACAATTCCAGCAGAACTTTGGTAAGAATTGCTTCATATCTTCACCAAGTATTTTACTTCCATCCATTGCCTTCCCTTTCATATCTCTGGTTGTCTGTCTTCATGCCAATACTTCATGATTTTCATTGCTATAATTTTAATATATTTTGAAATCACCTCTAAGTTTCATCTTCCTCAAAGATCTTTAAACTTTTTTTTTCCTGTAAATTGTATATCCTTTTAGGATTACTTTCGCCTGCAAAAAGTAAATAAATAAATAAATAAATAAATAAATAAATAAATAGTGAGTAGGATTTTGATACAAATTGCATTGAATCTTTTCAGAGGACTAACCTCCTACATTTTGTTCTCTTGAATGAGTAAAAACATGTTTACGATGTGTGTCATTATTTGCATGCTATTTATATATTCTTCTGTTTCCTATCTGCTGTTTATGCCGTATTCCAGATTGGTTTTTCTATCTGCTGTTTATGTCTATATTCCAGGTTCGTTGTTTTATGCCAGAGGCATTACAATTACAGGGGGAGTGGTCTTTGATGGTTCAAAATGTTGAGTCCTTTTGCTGTTGTATGGCTGATTCTGTGCAGGCCTACTAGGCCTAACTCGTTCTGTGTGCTGTTATGGTCTACTTTCCTTACTTATATCCTGTCTGGTTTCATTGTCCATCACTGACTATTGAAGTTTCCACTGTCCATTTTTTTCCCCTAAAAATGTGCTGAATGCTTCCTCTTGGAAGTTGTTTTGTAAAATATGTCCACATTGATCACAAAGTCTTATAGCCATTTTGTCTCTGATTAATAATATTCTTTGTTTTGTATTTGGGTAGATTTTTCTTTGTCTATTACTCACCATAATCATGACCATCAGTCTTCCTTCTTGATGTCTAAACTCATGGTTTATCTTTTTGTTTGTTTGGTTTTTTGTATTTTGTTTTTTCTCCCTCACTCCTCCACCTATCTGGATCCATCCCATTCCTGTCTCTCACTAGAAAGCAAACAGGCTTCTAAGGGACAATAGAAACAGATATAAACAGACACCCATTTGTTTGGGTGGGTCTCAGAAATCCTATTAAAAACCACTAAACTGGAAACTATAATATATTCCCAAAGAACCTTACAGGGTAAAAAGAGAAAGTTAAAAAAATTAGATAAATTTAAAAAGAAACATACACACAAAAACAGATGGAAAGCCCATTTGTAATGAATGAGTGTTCCCCTTACTATACATCCTCCCTAGCCTGAGCTGTCACTTGTTTTATTGATCTTAGACATTCTGATGGGTGTAAGATGGAATCTCAGAGTAATTTGATTTGCATTTCCCTGTTGGCTAAGAAGGTTGAACATATTTTAAAGTGTTTCTCACACATTTTAGTTTCCCTCTTTGAGAATTCTCTGTTTAGGTATGTACCCTATTTTTTTAATTGGGTTGTTTCTTGATATCTAGTTTTCTTCAGTTCTTTATATAGCTTAGGTATTAGCCTTCTATACAATGTAAAAATATTGCTCCATTCTCTAGGCTGCTACTCTGTCCTAATGATGGTGTTCTTTGTCATGCAGAAACTTTCAATTTATCTTAGTGCCTGGGCATTCAGTGTTCTGTTCAGAAACTTCTATTATGCAAATGAGTTCAAGGCTATTCCCCACCTTCTTTTCTCTTATGTTCAGTGTATCTGGTTTTATGTAAAGGTGTATGTTCAATTTGGAGTTCAGTTTTGTGCAGTGTGGTGGTAGATAGAGATCTTTTTCCATTCTTCTACATGCAGACATCCAGTTTGACCAGCACCATTTTATGAAGATGCTGTCTTTGTACCAGTGTGTGCTTCTGCCTTTATCAAAAATTAGGTGTCCATAGTTTTGTGGATTTATGTATAGGTCTGCAAGGTAAATCCATTGATCAACATGGGTGTTTTTGTGACACTACCATGTGGTTTTTATTACTGTAGCTCGGTAGCACAATTCAAAATCTAGGGTGCTGATATTCCCACAGTACTTTAATTGTTCAGGATTGTTACAGCTATCCTGTTTTTGTTGGTTTTGTTTTTGGTGTTTTGTGTGTGTGTGTGTGTGTGTGTGTGTGTGTGTGTGTGTTTCCGTATGAAGGTGAAAACTGTCCTTTCAAAATCTGTGGAGAATTGTGTTGTAATTTTGATTGGGATTGTATTGAATCTGTAGATTTCTTTGGGTAGGATACTAGTTTTTACTATATTAACCCTAGATCCATGAGCATGGCAGATCTTTCTATTTTCTGATATCTTCTTCAATTTCTTGGTTTTAATCATATAAGTCTTCCACTTTCTTGATTTAGTTACACCAAGACATTTTATATTGTTTGTGGAAGGTGTTTCTTCCTAATTTCTTTCTCAGTCCATTTGTCTTTTTTATACAGGTGGGCTACTCATTTTTGTGAATTATTTTTGCATCCAACTGCTTTTCTGGAAGTGTTTATCAACTGTAGGTTTCTCCTTGTGGAATTTTACAGTCACTTGTATATACTCTCATCTGCAAATAAAGGTTCATTGACTTCCTCATTTCCATTGTAAATCCCTTTGATCACTTTCAGTTGTTTTATTGCTCTAAGACTTCAAGTACAGTATTGAATAGCCATTTAGAGAGCAGGTAGTTAACCTTGACTTTTTCCTGATTTTAATGGAACTGCTTTGAGTTTCTCTCAATTTAATTTGATGTTTCCTTTGGGCTTGTTGTAAACTGTCTTTATTATATTGAGGTATGTTCTTTATATCCCTGATCTCTTTGAGTTGTTTATCATGAAGGGGTGTTGGATTTTTGTCAAAGGCCTTTTCTGTGTCTAGATGATCATGTGGTATTTCTCGTTCAGTTAGTTTATATGATGGGTTACATGTATTGATTTACATATGTTGAACTATTCCTGCTACTCTGGGAAGAAGTCTACTTAGTTATGTTGGATGATCATTTTGATGTGTTCTTGGATTTGGTTTGCAACTGTTTTATTGAGAATGTTTGAATCTATGTTCATTATGGAAATTGGTCTGTATAATTCTTTGTTGAGTCTTTATGTTCCTTCTTTAGGTTAGGGAAATTTTCTTCATTGCTAGTGTTGAAAATATTTTCTGAAACTTTGACCTGGGTTATTTTCCTCCTATTCCTATTATTTATAGATTTGGTCTTTTCACAGTGTCCCAGATTTTCTGGGTATTTTGAACAAGGAATTTCTTTTGCCTTGTTGTCTTCAGTGCCTGAGAATCTTTCTTTCTTTCTTTTCTTTTTAAATTATTTTTTCTTATTTTGCATATCAATCCCAGTTTCTTCTCCCTTCCTCTCATGCCCCCATGAACCCCCTCCCATCCTATCCACCCCCTGCTCCACAGGGAAGGTAATGCCTTCCAGGAGGGATCAACAAAACCTGTCAAGTCATTTGGAGTAGGGACTAGGCCCTCTCCCCTGCCTCTAGGCTAAGGGAGTATCCCTTCATGGGGAATGTGCTCCCAAAGTCCTTTTGTGTACCAGGGATACATCCTGGTTCCACTGTCAGAGGTCCCTTAGACTGCCCAGGCCTTCTAACTGAGACCCATGTTCAGGGGGTCTGAGTTGGTTCAATGCTGGTTTCCCAGCTATCAGTTTGGGGGAGAATCTTTCTTCTATCTTTTGTATTCCTTTAGTGAGTCTTGCTTCTGAAGTTCTTAATCAAGTTTTAGAGATTTTATGTCCTGATTTCACCCATTTTAGGTTTTCTTTATGATTCTATTTTCACTTTCGGATCTTAAACTGTTTTATTCATTTCCCTCCACTGTTTGTGTTTTCATAATTTTTTTTAAAGAAATTTATTCATTTACTCTTTAAGGACCTCTTGTAGTATAAAGGTTATTTTAAGATTTTTTTTTCTTGTGCCTCAGTTATGTTGCTGGGCTGTCTGTGATAGGGTTACTGGGCTCTAGTGCAGACATACTGTCCTGGCTATTACTCATTCTGTTTTTATGCATACATTAGGCATCTGTGATTGGGACAATTGTAATGCTAGGTGCAGGTAACTTTTCTTCCTTTATTTGCTGGGTGTTTTGTTCCTTGGTTTCTGTTGCCCTCTCTGGTTGTTAGGAGAGTGTGGTGGCTGTGGTACCTGCTGGGAAATTCTACATATATGGTTCTTCTACGTATGTGGTCACTGGGAGTTCAAGGTAAAATGCTTTCCTCGGAACTTGGGAATAGGGATGGGCTTTGGGGATAGAGGATAAGGCTGGATGGAGAGAATAGGAAGAAGGAAAGCATGGTATTCCATTAGGATCTGCTTAGTCTCCTGGAAAAGGGGGCAGGTAGTGAGGAGAGGCTATAAGGGAAGGTCTGCTACAGAGCAGGGGATGAGACTGAATGGATTTGAAAGAGCTGAGGGAGAGGTAAAGATCTGCTGTTAGCTATGTACTCACTGGTTTTGTGTGTCAGCTTGACACAAGGTAGAGTTATCAGAAAGGAAGGAGTGTCAGATGAGGAACAAAACAACACAAACAGTGGAAAGGTGAGTTGTATTAACATCGCAGTTTTCTTATTCTAAGATGGACCCATAGCACTCCAATCTCCAAAACCTCCACAATGATCAGTCATGATCTGAGAAGGACATGTTCCCACTGTCCATAGCTTATGATTGCTAAACAGGACTTAGCATCAGAAAATAAGTTGTATTAAGGTCTGTGTATTCATTTTGATCTAAGTCCCACTCAACAAACTGTTCCATATTCTTCATATATGCTTATTTTTAATTTGAAATTATTTTATGTGTTTAGGTGACTTGGCTTCATGTATGGCTATGTACTATATGCAAGCCTGATGCCCCTAGAGGCTAGGAGAGGACATTAGATCCCATGATATTAGAATATAAGTGGGTATGCTTGGTTTCTCAGTGCATGCAAAAATCTATAAAGAGGGATTAGAGAGATGACTCAGGGGTTAGAGGCACTGGCTACTTTTCCAGAGGACCCGTATTTGAATGCTAGTGCCCATGTGGCAGCTCACATCATCTGTAATTCCAATTTCAGGTAATCTGTAATGCCTTCTTCTGACCTGTGATGCCCTCTTCTGAACTCTGCATGTACCAGATACAACATTGGTGCACATGCATAGACAAAACACACACACACACACACACACACACACACATACACACACACACACACACACAAATAATAAATAAATAGAAATAATTTTTAAAAGAAATCATTGAAGTATCCATTAAAAATCATAAAAATTAATATATAATTATAACATACATGTAATATATATTTATATAATATATACATGTATATATAATGGCTCCATATTTATGTAAACAGTAAATTAGTAGTAGTATTCAGGCATTCTGAATATGTATTTTGTGATACCCAATGAACATAGAATATATTGTTAAATAAACTGTATGAGATTAGGCAAATGTCATACATTTGTCATGTGTACAAAGTTGATGTTAAGTCCCAGTACTCAGGAGGAAGAAGTAGGCAGTTCTCTGTGGGTCTAAGGCCAGACTGGTCTACATTGTACTTCCAGGTCAGCCAGGGCTACTTAGCAGTAATTTGTCTCTAAAGAAAAGGGGAAGTGAGGATGGGCTGGAGAGATGGCTCAGCAGTTAGAAGTATTGGCTATTCTTGCAGAGGACCTGGATCTGTTTCCTAACACCCAGATGGTTGCTCAAAACCATCTATAACAATAATCTCAGGTGACCTGACATTCACCTCTGGCTTCTGCAGGCACCAGGCATCCATATATGCAGCTTGAATACTTATATACATAAAAAACAATAAAATAAATTTTACACTATTATTTTGCTGACAGACATTACATTGATTACTTAGACTGATATTGGGAATATGGCCATGTGCCTGTTATCATTTATTGTAGTCAATGTGCTTGGAAACCCATATTCTTTTTCTTTTTTATTATCTTTTTCCTTTTTCTATTTAGTGCCTTAATTTTTTTTTTTTGCACAAGTGATGGTGTTTCTAAGATCTGCACAAGTTCAAAGCAGACAAAAACTCAGCCCTGAGAAATGGAAGTGAGCATAAATTTACATCCCTGGCCAAGAACTCTGTAATTGCTATTTGCTAAGAAAGGGAAAATCAGTTTTCTCCAATGGAGTGTCACTGAGTATCAACCATACTCCAGAAGTCCCCATGCCCAGGAGTAGTTGCCCAATATAAAACAGACTCTCTCTCTCTCTCTCTCTCTCTCTCTCTCTCTCTCTCTCTCTCTCTCTCTGTGTGTGTGTGCATGTGCATGTGTACCTTTTGTGTTAGGTTTTTTTGTTTGTTTCTGTGGGTTCTTTTTGGGATGTTTTGTCTCTCTTTGTGGATTTTTTTTTTAAAAAAATTTTAATTGTTTTTCCTGGTTTTTGCTTTTGGATGAGAGAGAGAGAGGGAGAGAGACAGTGCATGAAGTTGGGTGGGAAGGGAGAAGAAGGAAGAGCTGAGAGGAGTTGAGGGGGGAAGAATATGTGAAAAAAAAAAAAACCCCAATTTGGATCGACATGTAAAATAAGAAAAAATAATAAGACAAATAATAAAATGAAAATATTCTAAAATTCATCTTAGTGGTTATTTATCTCCACAGTTAGGTTTATTCATGTGCCTTTTAAATTTTTTTTAATTTCCTAGTTTATTTCTCCATGTGCTCATTATAGGCATATGGGAAAACTGGGAAAACTAGTAATTTTTATATATTAATTTTTCAATTCTTAAATATTACTTAAAGCACTTATCACATCTGAGAGTTTCTCAAGGTGTCTGTGGGATTTGTGTTTATACAATCATGACATCAATGGAAAAGAGTAGTTTGATGTATTCCTTTCCTACTTCCATTGCTTTTTTCCTTTGTCTTCTTCAGTTTTCTCAGGCCAACTCTTTATACTCTAAATCAAACAAGACTGAAGAGAGTTTGTATACTTCTCTTGTTAATATTTTATAGGTAAAGGCTGGAAAGCTAGCTCAGCAGTTAGCACTTTGTTGCTTTCAGAGGACCAGGGCTTAGCTCCAGTACCCACATGGCCCCACACAAGCAGGGGATCCAGATTCTCTTCTGAACTCCAGAGGCACCAGGTATACAAGTGGTGCACATGCGTTCATGCTGGTAAAACAGTCATAAAATAAACAAGTCTTTGCAATTACAATTTTAGAAGTAAAGATGCAGCTTTTTTTTTTTTTTTTTTTTTTTTTTTTGCCTTGCACTGTTTTCTTAGGTTTGGTGTAGGCATCCCTTATTGTGTGAGCTCTATTCTGTGTACTCCTAATTAATTCCTTTAGGAGTTTTACCATGAACACTTGCTGAGATTTCTGAGATGACATCTCTGTTTCTATTGGGCATTTTATTCCATGGGATTTTTCTTCACACTGATTTCATTGCTGTTCTTGTTGGTTAGGTTATTGATAACACATTTCCGTCTTCCTTCTTGGAATCAGTTAATCCTCTACTGTGTTGGGAGGTGGTTGATTATTTCCTGTCTTCTCATGGACATTTTCTCTCTAATGATTCAGTTTATGGTTTGCCTCTGCTTATTATCTGCAGTGCTGCTTGGCTGAACTGAATTGTGTTAAGTTGTTGTTGTCTTGAAATGCTCTCCTCCAACAATTTTGAAAGGCAGTTTTTCTGGCTGTAACAATGTGATTGACAGTTCTTTTCTTTCTGGCTTTTAAATATATACCCCATGCTCCCCTGGCTTTTGGATTGTTGACACACATCTGGTATTATTCTAGGTGTTTGATCCTTTTATGTTGTCAGTGTTCCTTAAGAGATATCAGTATTGATTTTTAGCTTTTTATGTGTACCATTTTGACATGGAAGGAGCAGAAGAGGTCCTGCCATTGTTCCTAACACAAAAGGCTGAGAGAGCAACAGGGAGAAATGGATGGTCCTCTGGTAAACATATCTCAGGTTAGTAGTCATATCTACTTTTCTGTTAGAAATGCTATATGTATTGAAACCTTGCCAGCCTTTAATTATATGATTCTGATAATATTATCTAAAGTGTTTAATTTCTATATTTAAAGTGTTTATATCTAAAATGTTTAATAACTTTGTCTTCTTGTATATAGGAAAGCTCTCCATGTAGTAGTACACGAGAAATCTGGTTTGTTATTTCAGGGTCTGTTGACGTTCAGGGATGTGGCTGTGGACTTCTCCCAGGAGGAGTGGGAATGCCTAGACTCTGTTCAGAGGGCTTTGTACATTGATGTGATGTTGGAGAATTACAGCAATCTTATCTCTGTGGGTGAGAATATTTTTCTTGCAGAATTTCTAGCTCAATCTTGTCACATTCTTGCATGGCTCTTGGGAGTTGACCTGAGTAGGGACAGAGAAAGAATGAAGAAAAACAAACACCTGAACACACAGAAAAGCTTGGGTCAGGTGGGCTTAGCTCTCAGATGGAAAAACCACAGCACCCTGGAAGCTCAGTCTGTTTATTATATAGAGTTGAACAAGGAGGTATGGTTACTGCATATGGATGAACAAGGAGGCAGGTTTATGGTGTACAGCTGAAGCAAGGGGACAGGTTTAGCTTCATAAGGAGCAGTCACTATAGTGGAGCAGTTTAACCATCCAGGAGAAGAAAGCGAAAGTGGACATTTTCTGCACACACTGTCAGTGTATCACTCTTTCTATCTAGACCCCAGAGGAAGACTTTTCTATCTTTCTGAGCTTCACCCTAAGGAGGAAGACTTTGTTATTTTCCAATGGGTCTGAGACTATGGTCCTTGATATGGCTAGGTCTGTAACAATAGACTTTCACTTAGGACTTCACACACAGAGCTTCCTGAGCTCCTGACATGCGTCTTTTGTATAGATCAGCCTTTTAGGTTTGTAGTCTCTGTGTGAAGCCGGCTCAGAAACTAAAGGAAATTATCAAAATTTAGGTAGTAGAAATGAAGTTTTTCATGGTATTATGTATTTGTTTTGTCTTCCCTTTTGGAAGGATTATATATCCTTCATTTTTGTTCTATGATACATTCAGAAACTCAGTAACATATGATATGTTCACCCATATCTTAAAGTTCCATTTTCATCATTCATCTGATATAGTTTTAAAATACACAAGCTGAAAACACTTCCCTGAATATCTTCAAGGTACTGATAGGAAATAACAATTGGCAGTTTGTTTCAAGGGTCCTTTATTTTGTCCTCTGGTCATCTGTTGAGCTCAATATTGTGTTAGCTTAGATGTCCAGATAACTTTATCAAGAATCTAGCAAGGTTTATATGCCACCTTACAAAGCACAGGACTTGTCTTTGGAGCCAAGCAAAGTATCCTAAAATGTAAAGAGAAAGGGGAAAATCACAGATAGCCAGAATACCAGGTGGGTTTGAATGGATGAGCAGGTCCAAAATGAGGGTTTCAAATGAAACAGGAAGTAATATCTGAAAAGAGCTTTACCACATTCTGATCAGTGTGTGGACTTCAGTCAACATAGAGTTAGAAATAAGCAATTACTGAAGATGATGTCTCTTTCTCTAATGATCTACAGCATATGATATCTAGCAGAAATATTTACCTTGTGCTTATTACTTTTCAAGACTCTGACATGACTTTGATAAAAAGTTAAGTAAGGATTTAACTTTATAAGTATTCTAAAGAGTGATTTTTGCTGCATTTACTTAGTGAGGCAAATATTATGAATGTTGGATTAAACTGTTTCTCTAGTCATTTCTGAAAACAAATTAAATAAGAAAGGTATTCTAAATATAGTCAGAGAGTTCCATCCCAAATGTAACTCAGTTACATGTACCAAGTTATACAATTTAGGTGAGAATGAAGTGGCTATAAAAAAGCATTGACCCTTGAAGATTATTACTCTGTACATTTTTGTGAGAATCCATAACAATTAAAAAGGGCAAAAAATATCCACTACCAAGAGCTTTATTCATAATTACTGGTTTTCGTAGAAAAGGGAAAATTTAATAAACCAATCATACATTGAATGTGTTTAATGTTATATCAAACCCTATTAATCCTAATGTCTCTTTTTTTCAGAGAACTATTTCATGTGTGCTATTGTCCATCAGCATGTGGATAGTGAAGAGAAGTATTCTAAATGTAATGAGGTTGGCAAAATGCTTCATGAATCCAGCATATCCACAGCTTATAAAACAAGTAATACGACAGAAAACTCTAATAACTTTAGCTGTGACTATAGTCATGGGGATGCCTCAATTGAATCATCAAACCTAAATAGATATAAAAGCATCCGGGATAGAGAAGACCCTTGCAAATATAAAAACCCATCATTTGCCTCTACCTACAAACTTATGCAACAAGCAATCTGTATTGGAGAGAAACCACACAAATTTAGGAAGTACGGAAAATGCTTTGGTTCCTGCTCAAGCCTCACTGGACATCCAAGAATTCATATTGAAAAAAAACTTTATAAATGTGATGTTTGTGACAAATCTTTTACCCATTGCTCAAACCTTAGAACACATAAAAAAATTCATACTGGAGAGAGACCTTACAGATGCAAAGAATGTGGTAAGTCTTTTCTTCAGTTGTCAGCTCTTAAAAGCCATTACATTGTCCATACTGGAGAGAAGCCTTACAAATGTCAGGAATGTGACAAATCCTTTGCCCATTGTTCCACTTTCAGGAGACATAAGAAAATCCATACTGCTGAGGAACTTTATAGTTGTCAAGAATGTGGCAAGGTGTTTTATCAGTTGCTATACCTTAAAAGCCATTACAAAACCCATATTGGTGAGAAGCCTTACAAATGCAATGAATGTGACAGATCGTTTATTCACTGTTCATCTTTTAGAAAGCATCAGAAAATACATTCTGTAGAGAAACTATACATGTGCAAAGAATGTGGTAAGTCTTTCCTTGAGTTGTCACATCTTAATAGGCATTACAGAACTCATACTGGAGAGAAGCCTTATAAATGTGAAGAATGTGACAAATCATTTACTACAAACTCAATTCTGAAAACACATCAGAAAATTCATTCTGGAGAGAAACCTTACAAATGCAAAGACTGTGACAAATCCTTTACTCAACATTCAAATCTTAGAAGGCATCAGAGAACTCATACCGGAGAGAAGCCTTACAAATGTCAGGAATGTGACAAATATTTTACCCGGTTCTCAACTCTGAGAAGACATCAGAAGATTCACATTGGAGATAAAAATACCACTGTAAGTAAGGTGACATATTCTTTATCCCGATCTTTATCTTTGCGAGCCGCAACAGGATCTATAATAGAGAGAAACAAGGACATAAGAAACTTTTGAAAACCTTTAATGAAGGTTGAAATCTTAGAAAATATCACAAGAATTTATACTGAAGAAAATTCTTGCAGGTGTAAAAATGTGAGAAAAACCTTCAAGGAAAACATTTTTGTAGTACAATATCAAAAGTAGATACAATGAGGATAAAAATGTAGGAACCTAAAGAATGGAACCAGACTATTAGTTTTTATACCAGTCTTGTTGTATATCAGAAAACCCATACTGAAAAGAAATCATATAACATGTATACCTGTGTGTTATCCCAGTGTCTTGCAGTTCATTGGAAATTCTACACACTACAGAATTCTCATAATGCATTCAATTTGTCAATTTTTTTTTCTGATGCTAAAATTGTACACAAATTAGAAGACTCATCCTGAAAGAAACCCAAGAAAATGCCTTAATAAAAGTTCATTTTATTTCACCTTCAAAGTATTCATTCTGGAGCAAAACTCTGCAAATATCAAGAATGTAAGAAACTTTGACAGAGACAAATGAGTGTAACAACACAGTCATGCTCATGAATAATAGCTCTGAAGGCCCCAAGAATATAAAGGAAAATTATCACCATTGGGGAGGTACTTAGTCTTGCTTTAAAATGTAATAGAAGAGTGATATTAGAAAGACCAAGGCATAAAGAGTCATAGGCATTATAAAGACCACTGTGTTAGAAAGAACAAAGCCAAATGAATACATGAATTTGTCATGGATTTCAGTGGAAGTAGATTCTTATATTTGAGAAAATATGAAAGTCCTGTTTGGAAACATTTTATTTTTCTAGTGTTGGAGTTTGTTGAAATGGGAACAGAGTAGGTATTTCACAGTTTGTTGAAATGTGAACACATGCTGTCTTGTGTGCAAATGATTATTTGGTCATTTTTGTCAACCACTGCTGCATCAAGCTTGACCCTACAACAGAGACAGAAGTTAAGTGACTGGCCCCTAACTTCTCATAGACACCAATGAGCTGGAAAGCATTGATGCCAATTACAGATTGAATCGTAAATAACTAAGCAACCCCCTATACCTTCCTCCAGCTTATAAGTTCTTACTGCCTGCCCACTCTGCTATGGTCTCTGAGCCTTGGAGGGTGAATTAGTCAGGATTCTCTAGAACAGTAGTTCTCAACCTTCCTAATATGTGACCCTTTAATACAATTCACCATTCGGTTATCTCCAACCATAAAATTATTATTATTTTTTTTTATTTTACATGTCGATCCAAGTTCCCTCTCCATCCCTCCCTCCCTCTTATTCACTCTTCCCCCTCACATGCACCCTGACCACCCTACCCTCCCATTCCCCCACCCCCATTCCACATGTAGGACTATGCCATCCAGGTGGGATCATCTAAATCAAGTCATTTGAAGTAGGGACTAGGTCTTCTCTCCTGTCTCTAGGTTAAGGGAGTGTCCTTCCATGGGGGATGTGTCTGCAACGTCCTTTTGTGCACCAGGAATACATCCTGGCTCCACTGTCTGAGGTCCCTTAGATTGCTCAGTCCTTCTGGCTGAGATCCATATTCGGGGGGCCTGAGTCAGTCCCGTGCTGGGTTCCCAGCTATCAGTCTGGGGGCCATTAGCTCCTTGTTCAGGTCAGCTGTCTATGTGTTTCTGCAACCTGGTCTTGTCTTCTCCCTCTGTATCTGGATTCTAGTTCGACTCAGTGTTTAGTTATGGGTGTTTGCTTCTGTTTCCAACAGGTACTAGATGAGGGTTCCATGATGGTGGATAAGTTAGTTGTTGATCTCACTATTCGGGAAGGGCATTTATGGTAGCCTTTCCACGGTTGCTCAAATTGTTAGTTGGCGGCAGTCTTGTAGGTCTCTAGACCTTTCTTAGGTTCAGTTTTATCTTCAAGCTAATAATGGCTCTCTCTTTTATGTTCATCCTCTCTCTCTCTCTCTCTCTCTCTTTCTGTCCCCTATCTTCTATTCCTACCCTGGCTCAATCTCCCTAATCACATGTGCTTTCCTCTCCTCCCCTTCTCTTTCTCCTACTTCTCTCTCCATTCACTGCTCCCCCCCACTTCCCATGTGCTCTAGGGGACTTGTCCCTTCCCCCTTTTGTGAGGGACTTTATATGAATCTCTTAGAATACACTTTGTATCTTAGTTCCTCTGGTGGTGTGAAATATAAGAATTTTCCTACTGTTATGAATCAGAATGTAAAATTTGTTTTCTAGTGGTTTTAAAGGTGTCCCAACCCACATGTTGAAAACCACTGGTCTAATGGAACAAATTGATAGGATGAATGTGTGTGTGTGTGTGTGTGTGTGTGTGTGTGTGTGCGTGTGCGTGTGCGTGCGTGCGTGCCTAGCTCCAAAATGGCCATCTCCTGAAGAAAAATCCAAGATCCTCTAGTTCTTTAGCCCGTGAGGCTGGATGTCTTAGTTGGTCTTCAGTATACACTGGAATCCTGGAAAAGTATTTTTTTTCCTCTTTTAAATAGATTTTTTTCATACAGTATGATCTGAACTCAGTGTTCTCTCCTCTAGCTCCTCTACGATCCTCACCACTTTTCACCCAGTGAAATCAACACTTTTCTTTCCTCTTTCATTAGAATATAGGCATCTAAAACAATGATGGTGATAATAATGTCAAAATGAACAAAACAGGATAGGACACGTAGTATGTTCTAATTCCAAGGAAGGATTGCCTCAGCAACAGGATAGATGAACCTGTTAGTGAGAGTGGGGACAAACATAAAAAAGTTTCCTTATCCCATGTTTGTTTATAGAGCCAGATACCAGAAGTTGTGGCCCAGATTTAGTGTGGGTCTTTCCACCTCAAATGATCCAATCAGGAAATGTCCCTCAATGATGTGTTCAGATGTTTGGATTTTATTTGACTCCAGATGTAGTAAAATGAAAACCAAGATTAGCCATCACAGAGGCTGTGACCCAAAAGTTTGGCTATGATCTTCTAACTCATGTCTTCCTTTTATTTAACTTCTGTTTCCAGAGCATGGTTGATGGTGAATACAGGTGAATACAGGAAAAGATACAGAGCAATATCCCAAAGAACACTAATAGCTATAACAACTTCTTGTTACAAATACAATATTGGTAAACAGCTTTGTCGGTATATTGTGTAAATTAAAGTAATCACAGTTGGTGTGCCTTTCCTTAACTGGGGCCTTTGAATCTCCTGGCTAAAGGTTTTGTCGGAGTTCACAATACCATATATGAATTTCCTCCTGGGTATCAGGATTCTAGTCTAATCAGACAGCTGATTCTATATATAACCACTTGAGCACTGTTGCTCTAGCTGACACAGCTTGTCTGGCCCTTTCATTATGAAGCATGCAGAATCCATACCTAAGTAAGTCTTTGGGCTATTATTCTCCCTAGCAGTCTTAGTAGCACCCACTGACACTATATGAGCTAGACCGCAGATAGAGGGCGCTTCCCATTCAGTCCTGAAACCAAAACATTTGATGTCTTCAGCTATTCAGTTCTGAAATGCAACCAGAATCAATGAGAGTTGCCTCAATTTTAGGGGCCCCCAGAGCCTCCCTGGCCAACATCTCCTTGGGAGTTAATCTATGCACAACAGTGAGATTTTACACAAATTTGCCATTCTGGGAAGACTTGTTTTTATTCAGTGCACTTGTATGTCTCTCAGTGGGTGTCTAAATCTGAAAAAAACACTTAAAGGTTAGTATTATGTTTTCTGTATATAACAACTTTTTAGAGAAGATTGCCTGGGCAACAATGGAAAGTTGGGAACTACCACCCTATAACAAATGGTATGGTTATAAAAATGGCTATGGTGAAGCTCTCTGCAAGTCTTTTTTCAGGGCAAGTGTCAGGTGACCAGAGGTGCTTACAGTCTGAAGATTCTAAACTAAAATGATAGCAAGCTTTAGTACTGTATGGAAAGATCTTATCCTTGTCATATTTTTTTCTGGCTGTCCCACATCTCAAGCTGCATACTTTTACAAGGGCTCTTCGAGTTTTTGTGTTTTGTTTTCCTTGTTTTCAATCCTGATGAATTCAGTGGGTCTACCCTCTAGTGCACAGGGAAATAATCACCTAATTTTTTGGCTCTACCAGTTCCTGCCTCCTTGCCTCTGCTGTTCCTGTCCTTTCAGCTGAATGAACTATCTGCATATAGGAGAGAAATGTATACAATCTACTCAGGAGATAGCTGAGTACCATTTGTCAAGCTTAATCAATTTAGCATGTCTTGTTTTATACAGGAGTGTATGAAGTGATGCATATCAGATTACTTATTCAGGGCCTACATGTAATCAAAGCACAACTGCTGTCAGCATCAATCAAAGTCCAAATATTTTTTAAACATTAACATACATTGTCTTTTCAGTCACTGGGCATGGTTGTCACCTGCAGGTACTCCTTACCACTCTGTTAGGGAAGGAGCTATAGAAGCTCTCCCCACCCCACTGTTTTGCAGAAGTGCAGTAGAAATCGCTAATAGAAATCATTAGCATCTCTTTGTTGTTGAGTTTTTGGTTTTTTGTTTTGTTTTCTCTTTGTTTCTCTGGCCATTTGTTGACTAGTTAGTCAGTCCTTAACAATCCCAAAGACTTATCAGCACCCAGTTTAGTTTTTTATTAGGTTTTTGCTTGTACATTTGTTGTTTATTTTCCCCTAAAGACACTGGCATGATGTAAATCTGCCACATTGAGAGGTTTCTTTGGATTTAACTCATTTTCAGAGATGTCAGTTGTTGCTATAAAGGCCCCTCTTTCAAAAATCAAATCCTATCCATAGGTCCCACCATAGCCAATAAGCCCCATAGCAGTCTTTATGGTGCTGCTAAATTGACCTCCACAATTCTGTGATGAACTTAGTCTGGCCTGACCTGCTGACATGAGTATTAAGCATCACTTCCATCTTTAGATCTTTGACTTTTTTTTTCTTTCCTCAATAATTTACTCTTCCCATGGATTCCACAACTTTGGATGCTAGGAAAGGCTCTTTAAGCACACATTTAACATATTTTCTTGCCCTTGTCTCTTGCCAAATGGAAAAAACGAAAACAAACAAACAAAAACCCCAGAAGGATAGAATTTTTTGCTTCATCCTTTTATTCCCCTCTTTCTGTTTTTGAAACAGAGTTTCTCTGTGTAGCTTTTTCTATTTTTGATACCTTGTCTGTGTAGCTTTGGAGCCTGTCCTGGAACTCACTCTGTACACCAGGCTGGTCTTGTACTCACAGAGATCTGCCTGCCTCTGTCTTCTGAGTGCTGGGATTAAAAGTGTTAGCCACCACTGCCCTGTTCTGGAATCCTTTCTTACAGAAGCAAATTCCCAATGAGGAGCCATCTCAGCCTTAAACATTTTTCTATGCATAGCATTGGGTACATAGTTTTGTAGCAGCTTTTTGATACCCTCATTCATTACATGTTACTGTCACAGAACATAAAATTTGTTCTGAACAATTACTTTT